CCCAACTGATCGCCCCTAGAGATCCTCTATTCCATTCCGTGTCTCATCTTATGTCCATTATCTCTTATGGCCGCGATTCCTCGATGTAATAAATGTTTTTTATCCACTTTTGCAGGTTCAATATAGTTGGTCAGGTAATGTTATGCTCTGAATTCACTAGTAAGAGCTGAGGGTTTTCTGTTTGTGTATATCTGATTAAATCTTCTGTAATTCGCAGTGGGCTGTTACAACTAGTGTAGACTACTCTCTGGCACAGTTGATACAAGTGATCATTCTACTCAGTACAGGTGGGAAAAATGGTGGTGGTTATGAAGCATCCAAATATGTCGTGATGGGTCTTCATGGCGGCCTACTTCTTATACATGCATTGTTGAATAGTCTCCCAATTTCATGGCTATCCTTCTTAGGACAGCTTTCTGCAGCTTGGAATGTTGCAGGTACTTCGAATTTCTTGGGCTCTGTTATGCTAGCTGTGAATTTTAGTCAATAATACCTGGCTTTGTATCTGACTGTTGTTCTTTTAGGTGTCTTTGTGCTTATGATACTTGTCCCCCTCGTTGCCAAGGAAAGAGCTAGTGCTGAGTTTGTATTTACTCACTTCAACACTGATAACGGCGAAGGGATCAAAAGTATAGTTTACATCTTTGTTCTTGGACTTCTAATGAGCCAATACACTATCCTTGGCTACGATGCATCTGCTCACATGGTAAGAACTAAGTAGATTTTCTAACTTTGTTAATCACATTGTTAGGCATCAAAACCAATAAATACCATCATTATGTGTTTTGTTAACTTTCAATGACAGACAGAGGAAACGAAGGATGCAGCCAAGAATGGACCGAAAGGAATAATTAGTGCCATTGTTATATCAATAATTGTTGGTTGGGGTTACATTGTTGGAATCACGTTTTCTGTCACTGATATCCCATACCTATTGAGTAGCGAAAATGATGCTGGTGGTTATGCTATAGCGGAAGTATTTTATCTAGCATTCAAGAGTAGATATGGGAGTGGGACTGGTGGAATCATATGCTTGTGTGTTGTTGCTGTTGCTGTATTTTTCTGTGGCATGAGTTCAATGACCAGCAACTCTAGGTGATTAACATTCTTAATCTTTTTCATAATCATAACCTTTTATACTTTGTATATATAAATATGTTTGATCTCTGACTTTACCTACATCATTTTTTCTTATACATAAGGATGGCTTATGCTTTCTCAAGAGACGGCGCCATGCCATTTTTCATCTGTTTGGCAAAAAGTGAATGATCAAGAAATTCCTATTTATTCAGTTTGGATGTCTGCCTTCATATCCTTTTCCATGGCATTAACGGTATACATCAGTTTATTACGATAGATTAGTCTATATTGTCCAACTCCTGCTCTTCCTTACAAAATTGTCTCTTTTTGTAGTCTCTTGGAAGCTTAGTAGCATTTGAAGCCATGGTATCAATAGCAACAATCGGATTGTACATATCATATGCGTTGCCCATATTCTTCAGAGTGACTATAGCTCGAAAATCCTTCGTGCCAGGACCCTTCAACTTGGGGCGATATGGGATACTTGTTGGATGGATTGCAGTGGTTTGGGTGATCGCGATCTCATTGCTGTTCTCACTGCCTGTTGCCTATCCTATCAACACCGAGACTCTCAATTATACACCCGTTGCTGTTGGTGGTCTATTGATTCTTATATTATCTTATTGGATTCTTAGTGCTAAAAACTGGTTCAAAGGTCCTCTAAAGAATGTAATTTTTTGAGCCGTACGTGAGATAATCATAAACATTGTGGCATGTAGAGGATTCTTTTACCCCATTTCACCATTTGTGACTGACCAATATATTGAAGAGAATTGATAGTTCCTGAAAACTGGCATCATTTGCTTATGTATAAGTGAAGTAATTAAGTATATGACTATAAACTTGTGCAATTTTGTGTCGGGTAAAAGTTATAACAAAAATTAATACTTTAAATAAATACCACGAAACTAATCCAGTTGATATTTAAAAAGTTATAATGGAAAGGAATTTTTATCAAATTACACCTATTAAAAATAAAACTAGTATGTGGTGTGAGCGATGCAGAACACTTGTAATTACATAGATATGTTCAATCTCTCTCTCTCTCTTTTTTTTTTTTTTGAAAGAAGTCCAAAAGGATACTAAATTTCATTAATTAATGTCCTACGACATCTACAATTGATAAATAACAATAATAAAAACAGATTTAACAAAATCAAACAAGAATTAATCGGAAAAGTGCTAAGAATCCAAATACATAGATATAACAATTCGGCATATTCTCGATTCGTTGTATCATATAACTTTTTGAGTGCATCCGCCGACGCTTCAATATTTTGTGAGGAAGAAATTTCTTGTGATGATTTTGTAACCCCAATTCGAGCAATAATCAATCGTAGCCCCGTAAAACTGGAGACTTTATCAAACGCAAATAACATCTGTCTTTTGAAGGAGTTCGAAAAACCTTTTCTTTTTAAGGAGATCGAAAAAATCTTGTCTTTCGAAGGAGATAAACCCTTCTTTCGAGGGAGACATTATTATAACCTAAAAATTAAAAAAACTTAAAAAAAAACAGTGATTAGGGGCTTTCCACCGGTGAAATATGATGGAAGCCCCTTCAAAATTTACAATGAAGGCTAAAGTTTAGCTAAGAGAAGAGAGAGAAAGGAGGCTAGGTTTTTTTTTTAGGTTTTTTTTTTTTTTTTTTTTTTTTTTTTTTTTTTTTTTTTTTTTTTGTAAGACAAGCATTAGTAACTTAGATATGTTCATTCTTCATTCTTTAGTATTTATTAACTCATTATTTGTTTATTTATAATAATTTTTCATAAAGCCTTTGAATAAATTAGTTATAGAAAGACTATGTACTAATTATATAAACATGTCATTCGTATGTAATTTATAATATAATAAAAAACAAAGACATGATTATTATCAAATTAAGGAAAAATTCGTAAATAAACTACCCTTCAGTATTACATATTAAGTATATTTTCACCTATAATCGATTAATTAGGGCTTGTTACTTCACCTTATAAAAATAAGGTCTAACAAGTTCGGATAAGTTACAAAAAGGTCCAATAAGTTTAATAAGGTCTAATAAGTTCAATAAGATCTAATAAATTCAATAAGATTTAAATAAGTTTCAATAAGTTCAATAAGATCTAATAAGTTCTAATCAATTCTAATAATAAGGTCCAATAAGTTCTAATAAGTTCATAAGGTCTAATAAGTTCAATAAGTTCTGTTAAGTTTAGATAAATTTAGTTCAAATATGTTCAGGTCCAATAAGATGAAAAAAACACACCCTTAATCAAGCCAGTTGACCAGATTGGTAAAAAAAAAAAGGCCCCTAGTGACAATTTGGTAAAAATAATTACTCTGGCGACAATTTGGTAAAAACAATAAACTCCGGCGACATTTACCCCAAAAAATCTAATTTTTTCCGACAAATTCTTCAAAAATCCTAATTTAATTTGTTTTTGTGTTTTAAAATTTATTTTTCCTTGTAAAATTTTGAATTAATATGTCATACCGGTTTTATTTTGCTAAATCCTGATACCAAATTTATTTCTAACCCCCTTTTTTTAAAAAAACTTCGTTAATAAGGGGTATGAAACTTAATTGAAATTTGATAAAACATTATTTTTTTCTTCAAATTGTTATTTCCATAAAAATAATGGTAAAAAAAAACCCGCAAAAACAAACTAAATTAAGCATTTGCATGTAATTTGTCGGAAATTTTTGTATTTTTTGGGTTAATTGATGCTTGAGATTATTTTATTTACCAAATTGTCACTTAGGGTTAGCTTTTTTTATTTTTCTATACCAAATTATCGTCGGAGTTATTTTTTTTACCAAATTGTCGCTAAGGGTCTTTTTATTTACCAATTTGGTCAATTGACCCCTTAATCATCTTATCTAACACGGCGTTTATTAGATTTTGCTTATCTATACTAATATTTTAAAACAAGAACTTTTGCAAGTCATACAAAGTGCCACGTGGCATCTCCCTAATATCCATTTGTAGTTACATATTTTTATATTTTTTTTTATTAATTTAAATGAAACCTTTTCATTTTTGTTTTTTCATCGTATAGTTAATTAGTTTTCTATTTCCTTGGATAAATGTACTTTCAATGTTTTTAGATATACTCTTTCAATGTTTATTATAAATCTTAATAACCTCCAATAATAGTTACTGAAAACTTCAGTTTCCAACTCTCATCCCAAATGATAGTCATTATAACTTAGAAATTCTCTTCTTTCTCCCCATTTTTGCATGTCAAAAATTTATTTTCCTTCCTATTTTTCTAATTTGAATTATGCAACCTTACACTGCAATTGAGTTGATTTCCTTTCTTCCAACGAAATATTTCTCTAATTTGAATTATACAACCTTACGTCGCAATTGAGTCGATTAATTTTGTAAGACAATTTGGCCAAATTTTGCATTGATCAGTTTCACACTTTCATCAAATTTGTCACAAAAAGGTTTGTTTTCTCTATGTTTAACTCCCTTTTTTCATTCAATTTGCTATTTCACTAATCTCAATTATAAATATTGTGATAAATTAAATTATTTGTATGAAGTATAAACCCTTTGTGTGTTTTTTAATATTATTTTTGCTAAAATTTGAAATAAATAGGCAAAACCAAATTTTATTTGTTGGCAGAGTTACTGTTTTTTGCTTAATGCAATTTGTATAACTTAATGTTACATATGATATGATGTATTTTTTTTTTTTTTTTTCCGTTAAGAATATATTGCATTACATTTATGTACGTATTATTACATTTTAATTTACTAAAAAAGTGTGATTTGTATTTACAAATGTTTTTGATTATCTTTTTTTTTAAAATTTTTTTTTGGTTTATAAAAGTCTAAATACATATATTTAGATAAAAAGATAATTTCGTGCATAGCATGAGCTAAGTACTAATTTTATCTTAAAATGCTGTTTCAAATGTCAAAACTCTCCATTCATAAATTCAAAACAAATTTAAAATTCAAAGTGCTATTCGACGTAGGATAGAGAAAGGGTTGCGCACTTGCGTTTTTAAGTTTCGGCGGGACTTGAAACTCATACAGTCATAACTCCAATTCCAAAAATCCCAGACCTAGATTTTTACCCTAATATGGTGAGTAATTTTCTTCTCCAAAACTCTTATTTTACAATTTCAATTTCAATCTCAATTTAATTTTGAATTCGATATCAATTTGATGTTTGATTATTCTCAATTTAATTTTGAATTCGATTTCAATTTGATTTTTGATTAATCATATAAAAAGGGGGATTCATATGAAGAGCTTGAACCATTGTTCGATTATCGCCGAGTTCAACCCGTTACTTTCGTCAACCTTGAAGGTTTCCGACCCTCATTCTCTCTCCTCTTCCTTTATTATTTTTCCTTAATATTTTTTTAATTTTTTATTTTTAAGTTATTTTTTTTGTTGAACAGATGATTCTGATTCTGATTCTGAGCCTTCCGTTTTGTCGAAGCGGAGAAAGATTTCTACTAATGGGGTATTTTTTGATGATTTTTTAATAATTTTTTTGGTACTTTGAGCTTTAATTTTAATTGGGGTTGCTTATTTAATTGTGAATTTTTGTGGGTATTGTAGAAAAACAAGGAAGACAACAGTAGTGATAAAGGGAAATCAGTTCAAGTAATTGACTGCGATGATGAAGATGAGGAAAAGGAGAATTTGTTGCCGCCGCCTCCAAAGAATGTAGCTGCTCCTCCAAAGGATTTTGAAGATCCCACTTACAAGAAATTGAGGTATAATTACTATAATTGCTGTAGATGTTTTCCTTCAGTTCAATTATTTGCTCATGCTTATTTTTTAATTTGAAAGTGTTTTTAGGGGATTTTGTTTCATGTTTGAAGTGGTTATGGATGGTTTTTGAAGGATGGTTTCTAGTTATTGTGAGTGGTCTGAGTAAGAATCCTAGACTATTTTGTAATACCTCATCTTAAGGGAATACCTTTTGCTATCCATGATTGACTGTTCTACAGGTGCATTCAATTCACCTGATATTAATCGTCAGTTTCCTTGGCAATGTCACATGTTGTATGTTAGTTAATTAACTGTATATGTGCTAATGTACATGGTCTTCAACAAACTTCCTATGCCGCTTATACTTTGTGAAGCAGAATGCAATCAGTGCTTTTGAATCGAAGGGTTTATTGAAAGCTTTGTGTGTGGTGGGAAGGCAGTGTAATTTACACCTGTTTTCTTTGGCTTGATGAATGGAACATGTGTAGATGGGATTTGTAATTATGTTTATGTTTATGCCACCCAAGGAGTTGTTTGGTATACAATTATAAAGGAACAAAATGGGTTAAGCTACTTGCGTAATAGTAGGTGAATGGACTGCAGTCAACAAAAGATCTTTCTGCATATTCTAGCTATTGAAACTCCTTGGGTTTGGAAATATACTGGAAACGTAACTTTCTTTTGTGACTAAGGCTTTGATATTGTTGTTATTTGCTGTTGTGGTGATTGGGAAATGTAACTCTCTAGGTACTAAGTGTGAGCAAGCTTTGTCTACAATTATTTTTCTTCTTCGTCTCTAAAGGGTCTCAAAGCTATAGATGAACGATTAGAAATCATGCCATTCTGGTACCACATTTATTTTTGAAGGATCTTTTGGACTTGGAATTGCAAGCAAAAATTGAATTTAGAAAATGAGCTGATTGTAATCAGTAAGATAGACGCGTGTAATTGGTGTTAGATATGTTGTAAAATTCAGGATATGTTTGTTTGTTTTAGATGTTTGTATCTTATCATCAAATTTGAGTATGTATCCTTTATACACTTGAAATCTTGTTTTGAAATTAATATGCAAAATTTGCTTCAACTAGACTGTGGCTCTCTAACTGTATCGATATGCAGGTTTTTTTTTTTTTTTTTGTTTTTTTTTCCCTTTCTGTAATGGTCTATTAGCCTATGTTGCTTGGCTAGGGTACTTAAGTGCAGGCGTGTAGCAGTATCAATAGCATCTATAAGAGGCTTCAAATGATATGTCTACCCTTAGCTTTAGTTGCCTCTTCCTCTTTTTTATATCTTTGACTAATTGTAGTTCCATTTAGTGTGGATTGTGGAACTTCTTCAGGTACATATCTTCAACAAGTGAGACAAATATAGTATTGCTTGAAATTGAAAGAGATTATCTGAGAGCAAGATATTTAACACTGTGTTTGGATAGAGAAAGAGGAAGGAAAAGAAGGGGAGGGAGGGGAAGGGGAGGGAGGGGAAGGGGTGGGAAAGGAAAAGGAGGGGAGGGAAGAATGATGAGTTTCCCATCCAAATCTCTCCATTGTTGGAGAGATCAATTTCTTACATTTTAATCCTTCCATTTCTCTCCCCTCCAATTCCCTTCCTTCCTCATATGCTATCCAAATGAAAGATACTCCATCCCTCCATTTCCTTTCCCTCCCTTTCCTTCAATCCAAACAATGAGCTCTTGTTATTAACTCCTGCTCAATAGTCGCCATGAAGCAGTGTTCTCACTTCTCCGATAGTTTTCTCTATTAATTTATAGTACCTAACTTAGGGTGCCTTAAGGATTGGGTCATCTAATTTTCTTATCTTTATGTTTTATATGACGGTTTTTTTTATATTTTATTTTATTTTTTTTGTTTTTAAAATCTTATGTGGGATTCTATTTCCATGGCAGATTAAAAAAGCAGGAGTATGAGTCATTCCTCCAGTCAACTGGACATGTTATACAAGCTGCTGATGAACCATTTACCTCTTTATCTCACTCTGTTGAAGAGGAAACTGCCGAGGAAGCACCAAAGCCTGCGGCTGATCGAACGAAGATAGTCATATCTATGCAAGATAAGGCTGGATCTAAACAATATCGAATATTTGCGGTACGTTTTATTACCTTTGATTATTTGACATAAGACTGCACGCAATTCATCAATTGTCTTAATATGTTGCGTCACCTAGTGTTTCATTATAAATTAATAGCTGCCAATTAGAGTTTCTTAGCTGCGTTGAAGATGAACATTATTCGGATTTTGTTTGAAACTTTGCTTTCACGTTTTAGTAGTCACTAATCAGAAGTTTGGCTAAAGGAAAATGCAATAGTAAAACTGGTAATATAGGAACTCTTCTTTAATTTGTAACGATCCTGGTTTTTATGGATTATCTGTGGCCTGATATAGTGTGGCTTGATAATGATGTTATGTTAGTGTCAATGTAGCTGTTAACCATTCAATATACCGGTCACTTTATGCTGCTAGTTGTATTGTTTGTCAATTAATGGTAGATTATGCACAGCTGACTATGCTTACTACACTGGTACGGTTTGATGTCCTAATTGTTTAGGAAAAAATTAGTTCAAATAAGGTTTTTAAGGGCTACGCAATTTATTCACTATTAAAAATAAGTTCTAATGTTTCAAAAAAAAAAGTTATAATAAGGATAAGTTCAGATAAGTGTAGGTAGGTTAAAATAAGTTACATTAAGTTCATTTAATTCAAGTAAAAATTTGGTAATGGAACGCATTCTTAGTTGTAAATCAAACTTGGGTAACCTTTTTTTAATCTTAATGTATCCTTAGTTGTATATTGAACTTGGGCAACCTTTTTTAACCTTTTTGAAAATTTATTAATTGAATGTGTATTATCTGAACTAATTTACCCTATTTGAACTTTTTTTTGAAAGAAGCATAGTCTAAAAGGTGAATGCAGTCATGACCTTGATAACAGTCATATTGTTGTGGAAACGGCTTGTAATAGACAATTAGAACAAAACGCAACCGTGTTGTGAATTATTTCAAAAAAAAAAAAAAAAAAATCACATTGATGAGTTTAAGCCTTGTTTAAAAAATATTCCTTTAACATAATATAACCAAACTTTACTTAAAATATCATGATTTATCAACTACCTAACTGTTTACTAATATATTTTTGTAACTTAAATAGAAAATGGATGTAATTGGTAAAATAAACGTTCTGTCACAACAAGTCACCTTTACGTAACGGATGACGCAGGGAAAAAGACGTGTTATTTATTGCAGCGTTATGTTAAGGAGTTTAGCGGAACGGCTAATCCACATTTGTTACATAATGGCCATTCTAAGGGCTGAGTTTTTATACCATAGAAATAAGGGGAAATAAGGTGAACAAAACAGGGCATAAGTAGTTTGTAAGGTACTTGCCTATAATTGCTGCTCAATGGTGACTTTTATCATGCGATAACCAAGTGTTCAGTACTATTTGTTTAGTTGTTGGCTGAGAGCTTGAGACTTCTAGGAAACTTTGTTGAAGAGTGATGCTGCTCACTGTTAATTCTGTGGGGTTTGAGAGTCCTCGCACAAGTCTCGACTAGATTTTATGCCATCCAAAAGGCTAATTCCAGTCATTGAAAGCCTCAGTTAATTCCTCTATATATATGGAACAACATAACTAAGTTTTTTGTTAGCGGTTTTGACTGAAGTCAGAGAAGCTAGTTGTATGAGGCATTTGGTTTAAATTGAACTCAAAATCAGTTATATATATATATATATTAAGCCCTGGAGCATGATGGGTTCCTTCAAACTGTTAAAATCCTGCCTTCTATATAACTTTGTATCAAGCTACATCTGCTGAAGAAGTAAGTCTATGAAGCTGAGAGATTATTAGTTAATAGCTATAAAGCTGCAGCTACATGTTAAATTTCGATTTCAAGGAGTGAGAAATACAGAGTAGACACCAGGGGATTGGGGACCTAAGGCTGTAGAGTTATAGAACCTTTGTTGTAACTCTTGTAGTAAGTGTACCTTTTTGAAATCATTAAACATTCTTAATTTACAAGGTTTAGGACAATGTGGACTACTTCAGGATATTTTTTTTTATTTATTTTTTGACAGCGGACTACTTCAGGATATCTGTTTGCTTTACTTTGCCATCTATACGATTTTTCAGCCATTTATACTTTGTTTATCTTTTTCCTTGGTATAGGATGAGAAATTTGAGCAGCTGTTCACAAAGTATGCGCAGAAGGTGAAGACTGATGTACATAACCTAGTATTTACTTTCGATGGTGACAAAATTAATCCAGCATCAACGCCTCAGACCCTTGGGATGGAGGATGATGATCTTATTGAAGTGCATGTGAAGTCGAGCTGACAAGATGATTTTTTTTTTTTTTTGAATTCCTTTGTTCATGTTTTGTGGTAAACTACAAAGTTTGGCATCCGCTTGGTGCTTTAATCAGTAGAGGAATTTGCAAAGCAAGTAGTGGAAAAGAAAAACAAAATCTTTTCTTTTTCCTTTCTATTTTGGAAATATTTTTGCTCAATTGTATTCCTCTTGTCCTGCGCAAATGATCCGCTTGCAGAAAAATCTGCTCCATCTGTATTTATACTGATTTTGTGCTTCTGAGTTTCACTGCACTCTTATATTTGCCAGGAAATGTGGATCAGCTAAAGTTATTCTTCCCTATCTGATGCTTAGGTTTAACGAGCTTTTCTGGTCTGATGGATGAAGTGAGAACCTCATAGTTCCGAACTGTACGGGACGAACAAATTTTGTTCATTATTCTAATAAAAACTTTTTCCCATGTTCCTCAAATTTTTAGGTACATGGCTGCATGCAAAGTGCTTTCCCAAAAAAAAAAAAAAAAAAAAAAAACAAAACCATGAATGATGAATAAAGCCTTTTCTAATTAATTTTTGTAAAATTGTATATAGGCGTGGAAAAGTGACAATCCTAAATATTAGGATATAGCATATGTTTTAATAATGTCAACAATGATCCAATTCAATCAAACTAAGAGTGATCCTATCTGATCATTAACTTGATTAAACCCGATATTTCCTGATTTCAATGTGATCTAATCCATCTATAACAACCAAACCTAAACTCGATTTGACAATGTTGCTTGCGCCCAACTAAAACTAGTGCTTATTACAAACGCCATCAATTTCCAAAAATGCTAAATTTTGACTAGCAATAAGATAGGACAACGTGATTGGGTAAGGAAGTGAACTTTTGGATGACATGAAAAGATTTTCCAATAAAACAGGATAACGTAAAATGGGACCCACATTTGCCAAGTGGGTCGACCCACGTCGGCATGGCTCTTGCCCATAACCCACATTCCACATCACCCTACAAAGTTGCAAAAAAGGGATAGATTTTAGATAAAAAGTGGACTCACCAAACCAAACACACCCCTATATTTTTATTTTTTATTTTTCAAAATATCAAAAAAAAAAATAAAAAAAGTTTCTTGTTTGCTGATAAATCACCTTGACTGTCTTTCAATGGCAGAAGTACAACACTCAAATCTTTGTTAGATTTTATCAAGATTCTTCTTCACTCTCAGGTTGGATTTTTCTTTGTCTGTTTCTATAACATGATATTTATTTTAATTTATTTTTTATCATATGATTCTTTGTTATTCATGTAAATGAATGGAACATGTTTAATAGCATAAGATGAAGTTTGTCTTTTATTAATACTCTGAATTCATTTTAGTTTGGATCGCGGTTATAAACAACACGCGAGTACAATAGTAGTAAATAATTGTACCCAAGTCTCGAGATTGAATTCTGTACATTTTTCATTGTGGTGTTGAATGGATCATTAGATCTAACCAAAATAAGTTTAGAAACTAGTGGGTCCTAAGTTAAATTTAAGTTCACCCTAAAAAGAAGTTACTAATGCTCATTATTTTATATTTTATATAATGAAAACAGAGATAGGATATCTTTTTATTCCCTCTATTAATTTGACTTATGTTTATTATCATTTAAAATATTAGTAAATAATAGTTGACATGATAGATAGTTATAAATTGTTTGTCAAGAGAAATTATGCAATCATATGAGTAGTTTTAGTTGGTTAAAGATATTCAAAATGTTTATGAGTTTATTAACCTATGAAGTTTAACTTGTATCGACAATCAACTCTGGATGAAATTAAATAGTAAGTTTGAAACTCGAGTTGTTCATTGGTTCCAAATTGGTCAAATGTAACCAAACTAAATGGAACTGAAATTCAAAACATTTAAAAGTTGCTAGATGACTAGACCAATTTAAAAATACTAAATCGATCGTTTGTGGCAAGACTAGGGACGGTTGAGGCAAACTACAACATTGTATTGACCTATATTAATATCAATGGTTATATACTATCTATAGACATTGTGGTTCTAATGTGTAGAGTCTTGTAAGAAGTAAGTCTTGTTTTAGATACTAAAGCTAATGTCAAAATTTTCATTTGGGACAATGTGACTATTAAAATGTGGACGAAGGAATACAATTAAAGGTTTGACAATCTATATATAATTTTCAGCCAATGAATAAAGGGACTCGAAAATGGAAAAAACATGTGAATTTTGTGGAGCGCCAGGGCCAGTTGTATACTGCCAAGCAGATGCAGCACTACTCTGCCTCTCCTGTGATGCTAAGGTGCATTCAGCTAATGCACTCTTTGGTCGTCACTCAAGGAGTCTTCTGTGTGATTCTTGCAAGGAAAATCCGGCCAGCGTTCGATGCTTAGACCATCTGATGCTGTTATGTCAGGATTGTGATTCATTCCTGCACAAGTGTTTCGCTCACCATAAGAAGCTGATGATTGGCAGTTTTACTGGATGTCCTTCAGTGAAGCAGTTTGCAGAATTATGGGGCTTTGATGTCAATGATCTCCATCAGTTTTCGACTGTAGAGTCTGCGACTTCTACTGCTAGTTTAGATACTGAACGAGGTTCTTGCAGCCAGCAACATAAGGTAACCTGAAATTTTCTGTCATTTCAGCTGATGTTATAACCGAATATGGACTAATTCACATCCTTATCTTTTCCTGCTTACCTGTAGAAGTTAACAGTTGATAAGTGCTAACCTATAAAAAAACCTATCTTTCAGAAGCCTAAAGTCCTCGAGTATCAATGACTAAATTAAAAGCCTCACCCATTTCGTAACAACGGCTTTTTGATTACATCTCCTGTCATTCAGTGATATGAGTTTGTCAGATTCTCCCTCCCCTGCAGTACAGATGATTCTGTTTTTTTTTTCCCTATATATATTTTTTTCTCATAGAGGCCGATCCATTTGATTAGTAAAATTTAAGAACTGTGGAGTCCATTATTGTTCTGAGTCGCAGAACTTGGTATAACTTATTCCGGTGTAGACTTTTAGGCACTCTGACATACATTACAAGGACCGGAATTCCCATTGTATGCTAATGCTAATGCTAATTATGCGTCAAATACAGTTCAGGTCTTCAAAAACTCAGAAGTGAAAACTTTGGAATGACAAAGTGCAAAACATAATTTCTATGAAGTGGATCAACACTTATATTAGATTATTTGCTATGCAGAAACTCAGCAATCATCAACGCGAGCAAAACAATGGTTTAATCCTGCATCAGCTTCTCGAGTTGAAAAATCTACAGCTTACTGAAGGAGATAATCAGAAAAAATCACTGCGTCATACTGGAGAGTATGTCACATCCTCCTCCATCAACAGTAATTCAGGAACAATATTGCTCAATGAAAGACTCAAACAACAGTCCAAGGAGTTCAATAAAATCACTAATGAACTTCAGAGCTTAGACAAATCAAATCAAGTGCTAAATGGAGAACATTTTCCTTCGCCTATTTCTCAGCTAGATATATCTTCATCTGTAGCAGACCCCTTTTGGCAGCACAATAAAAGTCCGGTAGACAACGATCAGGTTTGTAGATCCTGATAGCTTTTGCAAAATCTGGTTTACATTCTCAAAGAATATTTGGATGTGGCACTGCAGTTTTGGTCGCAAAATTTGCAAGATCTTGGAATATGTCAAGAATTCGGATCCATTGATGACTTCAACATGCCAGACGTTGATGTAACATTCCGCAACTTTGAAGACTTACTCACAGGTGATCCTGACCTAACCCGAGCTTTAATTGAAGACGATGATCCTATGAGTTCAGATACTGAGAAGGCATCGATGAATAAGTTAGACAATAGTCTTATTGAAACAACACAGGTTTTTATTATTTTTTTTATCATCCATTTATGTGTGTCATTATATATTCTGATGTATATATGAATGATTTATCTTATGTTTTACTAATGCATTGCCTTTTCAGGAAACGGCTGCTACATTAGAGTCCATCAATAAGCATGTTACTTTCATGAAAGAAGCAAATCCATCGGACCATGTTATTCGCGGGCTATCCAGAAGTGTGGGGAATTCACCACATCCTTTTAAATACTCACGGTCAGCTACATTTACTTGTTCACGGCTCTGTGCTGAAAGCTGTCGCAGTGACTTTCTAAACTCCGAAAGTTCAGGGAATTTCAGAAGAAGTGAATCATCAAACAATGTGGAAGAGTTACATGATTTAGAAATAATGGAAGGTTTGGAAAGTTCAATCAGAATATCAAAAGACAAAAAGAAGACTCAAATGTAAGTGAACAAATAGATTAAGAACATGCCACAAATCATTTGTTAAGTACTTTCTCCATTGGGAACAAATAGTCACATAATGTCTAAAATAGTGATAAACTTTCTGTAAATTCATTTTCAACCTCTGCTACTGGTGACCATCTGATTTACAGGTTTTCTGAATCAATAGTCGCGCAGCTTCTTTATCATTTTCACGCTATATTACACATATGACTACATTTCGACATATTGGATACTGTATTATATAATCCAAGATCTTGAGTGCACAACTTCACAACTTATAACTTTTTTTTTTTTTTTTTTTTTTTTGTTTGTTTTAACCTTTCCTGCCTTTTCGAGTTAGCGGGTCTCAATAAGCCCGAGATTCAGTAAAATCTTCTTCTGAATGCCTGCTATAGAACTAAGATTTCAGATTCCTCATCCCAGTGTTCTTCTAGGAGGAAAACAATATGTGGTGAATGTTGTGAATGCGTTTTCTTGCAGTGAATGTTGTGGTGAAATAATTCAGATTGGCAACGAGTTGTGATTATGCAGCCTCCCATAGTGCAAGATTGCTAAAGGACTGACTGATGTGATTTTGTATTACAGGCATGGTAAAAAAACTCAACTTGCACCACGTAAGGCTAGAACCGATTTGCATAAGAAGAACAAAAGCCGGTATGCTAAGTTACAAGGCTATGATTCCGATCAGTAACTGTAACAAAGAGCTGCTGAACTGAACTGAACTCGTCGACTTCCCTTGTTTTGATCTTTCCATGTTTATTTACAAGCCTGTACACTTACAAGTTTCAACTTATTCTTTTAGCATTGTCATAAGCCGAAGCCAGATTTGTTAACATTCGAGCTCCAGCATTTTCTTCATTTATTTCTGGTAATCAATTGCAAATTTATACCAAATTGAGAGTATTTACATCATGTCAACAGAATTAAAAGTAAGCTATAAGCATAATGACTGCAGGATGGATAAGAAGAAAAAAAATAAACTCTTTTAATTGTTTCAAATAAAAAAAAAATAAAAATAAAAATAATTGTTTATAGCAATGTATCGATCTTATGAATTATCATTCGAAACCACAAACAATATATCGACACATGTCACAATTAACCTACTTGTATTAAATAGGTTACTAACTGGTTATATTCTATTTTGGAAAAATATTAAAAGGTCTTTATATTTTTGGAAGACTGACAAGGTTTTTGATAATTTTTTTTCTAATTAATAGCCAAAATATTATTTGTCCCAATAATCTTAGGGTAAAAGCACAAAGTAATTAAGCTTATTTATACAAGTTCACAACAGTTAGGCCACGTTCTTTTGAGTTGTTATGTTCTGCTCAACTGAAATCTGTTCTGTTCTGCTGTGCTTAAATCCGCTCTGCTCTGCTTAAAATAATAATTAATAATAATAATAATTAATATTTAATAATAATAATAATGTGGTAATATTAATAATAACAATAATAATAAAAATAATAATAATAATAATAATAATAATAATAATTAGTAAATAACAATAATAATAAAAATAATAATAATAATAATAATAATAATAATAATAATAATAATAATTAGTAAATAAAGATAATAATAATAATAATAATAATAATAATAATAATAATAATAATAATAATGAAATCTGCTGTGCTCTGCTGAAATCTGCTCTGCTTTGTTGACCCCTGCTCTGCTCTGCTCTACTCTGCCCAGAAGCTCAAAAGAACAGGGTCTTATGAGCCTTGCATAACAAGCTAAACCTACAAAATTTTTGGAAACTAGTCAAAACCACTTAGCATTATAATCTTATCCTTTAATATCCCATATTATATTTATTATATCCTACTAATTCATAAGATCGGCACATATATTGCACTCTTATTATAAAAACCACCAAAAGCTTACCTTTATTATTCCATCAATTCTCTTTCAATATCACCAAAAAATTATTTTCGAGACTATAGTATTCTGGTACGGACATTGCACAACACAAACCACTTTCGATCATTAGCATAATTAGTTAAACAATGTCATCAATAAGCCATGATTATCAACAACTCGGTGAGCCATATTTTGATAATAATCCTGCCTTGGAAGATTTTCTCGTGTACATGGAAGATTTTATGGAAATCAGGTACAACAGAGTGTACCTTATGTCCTTGAGCGAGACGAGAAGAATTGCCACCACAAGTCGCTTCTTAGAGTTACACACATTTATCATAGATGGCCTCGGAGACATGCTTGAAGATAGAGTAATGATACCGACGGGTGTGGTGCCTGCGGACGAGTCATTCGTGGCAAGTTTGGAGATCAAGAAAGCTAGTGAAGAGTTGGCTAATAGCGGTGAAGTTTGTTCGGTTTGTCTTGAAGGGTGGAAAATAGGAGACGATGTTAAGTACTCGCCTTGTAAACATTGTTTTCATCCTGGTTGCGTTGATAAGTGGTTCAAAATCAATCACTTCTGTCCACTTTGTCGATTCGAGTTGCCGGCGGCGAAAAATGTTGAAGGTGTTTGATCTTAGAAACTTTGTACGTACAAAGACATACGAGTTAAACTAGTAGTACGTGGTCATTAATATTGTTTCTTTTCTTGTATTCGTCGATAAAACTTTTAATAGTAATTAGGTTTTACTCTTTCTTTAGTCCTAGCTTATTTAAGATAGATAAATTAAACTTTGTATTATTCATTTATATCATTAATGTGAAACCCAAAGCAAGCTTTCATTAAGCTTGAAGTAAACCGTTTCGGATGTAATATATCTCCAATTAATCTTTTTTTTTTTTTTTTTTTTTTTTTTTTTTTTTTTTTTTTTTTTGGGACAAGAACTCCAATTAGTCTTAGTATATGCTATGTATTTTTCAATCGATGTTACGAGTCAAATTATTGAATTGAAACAATAATTTTTATCGATGTTTTTCGTAAATTAATTGTGGCTATTCTCTTTCGGTAGAGGTTAACTTGTTATCCTTACTAATAGAATTTATTGTGTAATTAATCATATTCATATTATAAAATCAATTATTATAACATTAAATATTTATTTAAAAAATAATAATTGTGATTTTCTGACGTGTGCAATGTCCATAGACACAAATAATTCTACTCTTAAAATTTTCCTTATTATTAATAAAATTAATTTATTTTACAAATGAAATGAGAAGCTTTCCGTAATTAATCCAAGCTAGAGAGTACTCTTGCTAACGCAAGGGATATGTAATTCGCGAAATAAAATAACACAAAGTGAAATGCTGGTACATATTAGAGTCTCTTGAAAAAAAATAAAAGAAAATTAGTGGATAAGGTAATTATTAGTAATTTATTAAAAAAAATAATAATAAAAAAAGTGAAATGCATAAGAGTTGAGTATTGGGGTATTGGAAGATGGTGGTGAAGTGTTGTAAAAGAAATACTGTTAAATTATACTCCCTCCTTTTCAACTTGATAGTCTCATTTTGACTTTGCATAGTGTTTAAAATGCTCCTTTGACCATAAATATCTTTATTTATATATGTTAACAAAAATTATAAAAATTTGTTATTATAATTTTACGCATTCTATTCACCCGATTATTACTTATCTGAACTTATCTGAACTTATTTTAGTTATAAATTGAATTTGGGTAGCCTTGATTAACCCTTATCACAACTTATCTGAACTTAGTTTTTCTGAACTTATCTTATCTGAACTTAGTTTTTCTGAACTTATCTTATCTGAACTAATTAACCTTTATATGAACTTATTTTTCCTGAAATAAGTGGAAATAAGGTGAACAGAACAGGGTCTTAATGTATTAGGGTGCGTTCTATTCACCCGATTTTTACTTATCTGAACTTATCTGATCTTATCAGAACTTATTATCCCTTATTAGAACTTATTTTAGTTATAAATTGAACTTGGGTAACCTGATTAACCCTTATCACAACTTATCTGAACTTATTTTTCCTGAACTTATCTTATCTGAATTTATTAACCCTAATATGAACTTATTTTTTCTGAAATAAGTGGAAATAAGTTGAACAGAACATGACCTTAATGTGAGTTTTTGGTCAAAGTTTTAAAAGTTTGACTATAAACAAAAAAGTAAAAATAGGACTATCTTATTGAAACAAAGGTGTTTTTTTAAAAAAAAAAAAAAATATTAATACTCGAAAAGAATGTGCCGAAAACTATTTATTTTTGTAACTTACCATAATTTACAATAGGGGTCCTTTAGAAACAAAGATTTTCCTACCTTTACCCTTATCCTTAAAGATGTTGGCCAGGAATACTAAATTTGCATTAACAGTATTGATAAAATTGGGGAAATAAACGTATTTTTATGTAAGAAGAATTGTAAACATCCGAGCTCCATTATTTTTTTCATTTATTTTTGGTAAACATTAATCAATTGCAATTATACCAAATTGAGAGTAATTGCATCATGTCAACTGAAATAAAAGTAAACTATAAGCAAATTGAGTGAAGGGTGGATAATTAAAAAGAATATCTGTTTAAACAGGTTACCAATTGGTCACATTCTGTGTTGAGCAGGTTTGTTAAAGGTTATTTTATTTTGGAACAATATTAAAAGATCGTTTTATTTTTGAAAGAACGGTCCAAGGTCATTTTATTTTTCACAATTTTTTATTATTAAAATCTAAAATTATATTTGTAATATCCCATTAATCTTAAGATAAAAGCAAATAAGCATATTTATACAAGCCTTGCATATCAAGCTAAACCTACACAAATTTAGGAAACTAATTAATCAAAACTACTTAACATAATCCTATCATTTAATATCCTAAAATATACTATACCCTATCATAATCCACAAGATCGATACATTGTTTTCTTATTAATTTATTATTATATAAACCACCAAAAAAAAAGTGTATGCTCATTACTTTTAATTGCGAGACTATATAGTATTTTGATACGCACATCGTTCAACAAAAGACTTTAAACAATGTCATCATTAAGCCAAGATTATCAACAACTGGGTGACCCAATTCTTGATATTCCTGCCTTGGAGGATTTTATCATGGACATGGAAGATCTTACGGAACTCTGGTACGACGACAGTGAGGACCTTGTGTCCTTGAGCGAGACGAGAAGAATTGCCACCACAGCAAGCCGCATCTTAGAGATAATATATACATTACTCATAGATGGCCTCGAAGACGTGATTCGAGTTGCCGGCTGCGAGAGATGTTAGAGGTGTTTGATCTTTGAATCTTTGTAAGAACAAAGACATAGTAGTAACGTAATACTAGTAGTACGTGGTCATTTTATTGATTGTTTTCTTCTATTCGTCGTATAAACTTAGAGACAAAGAATATTTATTAGGTTAGTTTTAGCCGGTTTACTCTTTCTTTACTTAGCTGCTGTAATTAGCTTCTTCTTTACTCCGTAGCTTAAAATAAATTACAGTTTGTATTATTAGTTTATCTTATTAATGAGAAATCCAAAGCAAGTTTTCATTAAGCTTATAGTATATGCGTCACATATTATATAACTCTTATTAAAATTAGCCTTGTTATGCATTCTTTTTTCTTTCGTTCGAGTATTATTACTTGTCCCTTTTATCATTGTTTTTCATTAATTCCGGCAATTATCTTTTGGTAGAGGTTAACGAGTTATCGATATATACTAAATATAATTTTTTGATGTGTAATTAATTATATTCATAAAATGATCTAATATTATGATACTGATTGTATTTGTGATTTTCTAATGTGTGTACATGAACACTTAAAATAAAATACTCATAAAACATTTCTTATTAATTTAATTATTTAACCGAGTAACAAATAAAATGAGGATGCTTTCCAATATTATTATATTAATGAATTTTAAAAAGTGTCTTTAGGTTTCGTCATTCTCATAGTTTTTTTTTTTAGATTTTTTTATTTCTTTTTTTTCTTTTAATTGGCAGCTAATGTGCCAAAATATATATTTGTAACATAATATGAATCCATAATTTTTTAAATAATTTCTATACATTAACACCATGTATGTAATACCTTATTTATTGGTAAGAATTGTATGTATCTGTCGAAATTATTGAGACTAGTCCACACTTAGGGCCTTTTAGAAATAAATTACCTTTGAAATTGTTGGAATTTTGAAATTGAGAGTTTTCCTTCTAAAAGAAAGGTAGGCGTTGTAGTAATGGTTTTGATGGAATTTAGAAAATACAGAAATTAATTGTGTAAGAAGAATTGTGGCCCTAGAATTAACAACCGTTGACATTATTAACTAATATCATGAAATTTGGAAGACCTAAAAGAGATCAATGGACCATGCATGTTACCAAACACTTCCATTGTTTGTTATAGTTGTCATAGACAAGCAATTTACCCCCAAAACACATCAATATATACTCTTTCTGTCTTTCACGTACGTTGATCATTTGTCACAGTCAATCAATATATTCGATCGATGACTAATCAAGACAATATTTTTTGGTAGTTCCTTCGTAAATTAAACATACCATTGCTAAACCTTTTTTTTTTTTTTGGGCCGGGGGGGGGGGGGGTAGGGTTTTGGAATAGATAGAGTTTAAGTTATTTTAGCTAATTCGAGGTGAAGAGTTAATTGGATCAACAGATTATATAGGACATCGATCTTTAATATATAAGTAAGTTTTTTATGTCAACGTGATGAGTTAAGTCCTTGAATTATACTGTGAAGGTTTAAGGAATAAAGGAAATAAGAGATTCAATAAGAAAAATAGCCAAAAAAAAAAATGTCTTACATAGGAAATGTTTTTATATATATTGGTAAACCAACAACATTTACAATATTATACTCAATTATAGGTTTACCAAATAATGATTAACATTATTGTATAATTGTATTGATTCAATATTTACCAAGTCTAATCCAAATTATCATTTAAACAATAGAGAAAACGAAGAGGATCAAAGGTAGGGAAGTTATCCTTGTTAGAAACTTGGGTACAAATAAGCGTTTGGAATGGAGGATACATTGTAATTAATTATTAGAGAGACCTATCTTTGCAAAACACATCGAAGCACCGAGTAACCATATAATTATCATCTAACTTATTCGGTTACATAATTTACAATCATCACTCTTTACCGCTCGGAAAAAAAAAAAAAGTTATAATACCTCCTTAAGTTGACTTCCAAAGAAAGACAAGGACAATGCGGTAAAATTAAATCAAGAAAATTACAGTCTCGCTCATTAATTCACCATTGGCGGTAATTCTCATTCCGGCGTTGACAAATTGACTGAGGTCATAACAACCGACAAAATTCGGATTTTTCCCTTCTTTATATTTATATTCTTCCCGCCCATTTCCTTCTCTCTCATTCACCGCCACTCTCTTTCTCTCTCTTCCCTCGCCTCTTTCTCTCTCTAAAAATTTTCCTTCATTTTCTGAGAAGAAACTCTTCTCGCTACTCTTCATCTTAATTTCGAAGTAGATTATCAAGAATTTCATCCTGTAAGTGATCCTCTGCTACTTTTTTATTGTGATTTTCATAATCGTCGTTGAAATTTGTTGTTTAAGGTTGCTGAGAGTGCTTAATTCATTCTACCGTAGCAAATTTTTACGATAACTGAAACTTTTCGCTTATTTATGTATTGTTTTTATTGAATTTGATCACAATTTCAATTGTTTATGAATTTCAACGTGTAAGTGAGCCTCTGCTAATTACTGATTGTTAATTTCCTTTATCTTCGTTGAAATTCGAGGTTTTAGGTTATTAAGAGTATATAAATTTTAAAAAATGTATATGATAATTCAAGTATTTCGTTAAGTTTTGAATTCGTTTTTGTTGAATTTTATCACAATTTCAGATGTTCTATGATTTCGAGTTTTTGATTTTCCTACTAGCTCAGAATTCGCAATGTTGTAATTTTCTAGCTAAATTCGATCAATTAGTTTCTGATTACAATAATTAAATGCGAAATTGTGAATTTGTGATCATTTTTTTTGTGATTCGATCATCTGCATTGTGAAAAACCCTAAGAATTAATCACTGAAACATTTTTGCTCTGTTTTTTCTTCAATTTTTCCAGCAAATATCGGAAAATGCAGCAAGACACTTCCTCCTCTGCAAATATGATGTCATCGGCCGGAGATATCTTCACTCCACCGCCGTACTCCATTTTCTTCCACTCCGCTACTTCTCCGACAAGCTTCAACTCATCTCCAGTCAATTCCGACGGAAACTCCGGCAGAAACACAGACAACATCAGCGCTATGGCTTTGAGAAGCTTCCCTCGGATAGTGGCGGACCACAAGGAGCTGCTCAGTCGCCACTCTCTCTGCCTCGCTCAGCTTTGTAAGACGTTCAATGAAGCAGAGACTCTCCGGCAAGAGAACACTAACCTCCGACTCGAAAATCTTGACCTTAGCAACCAACTTAATCTCCTCATCCAGGATAATCTCCAGAGCCGATACCTAGCTATGTCGTTTTCTGATTATCCGGAGCAGCTCGGCTCTTCGTCTCTCTCCGCGGCTGCTGAGAAGTTAGGCGGCGGCAGTGGCAGCAGCGGCGGAAGCTTCCAGAAGGAGAGAGTAAGTGGAGATTGGGATGAAGGATTCTGCAGTAATAATCAGAATCGATCAACCGTGAATGAGAAGAGTCAAGAGGAGGATCACAAGGAGGAGAATGCTCGTGTTGCTCTGCCTAAGAGTATCTCAGTCAGGTCTAATGGATTCGTTAAGATGAATCAGATTGCTGCTGCTTCAGCTCAGAACAATTCGACTCCAACTCGGTCTGTGACTCCGCTTCAATCTTCAGGCAATGTGTCTGGACCGGTATGCTTCTAAACTCGATAATTACTTTTTAATTTCTGGATTATTTGTTTCTTTAATTATAATTATATTTGTTAAGTATTATTATATGGTTAATGCTCATGATTAATTGTTTGAAGTTGTGTAATGGTTGTTTGGTGCATGAATGGTTAAGTTGAATTTACATTGGTTGATTGTTGCTATGGTGGTTACGTGACCAAATTAGCTTTAGAATTGGTGATATGATTACATGATTTCGAATGTCCTGTCAAAAGAAAGAAAAAAGAAAAATATCAATTTCAATGTTAGGCAGTGGCTGTTGGTAACTTTATTTGTTGTTAAGGTGACTAAAAGTTGATACATTTATCTTGTTGCTGCTGTGATGGTGTTACTGTGACAAAACTAGGAATTTTTGTTGTTATAGTTGCTGTTGCTGTGCCTCGTTGCAAAAGGCCGCAAGTGAATGTCAAAATTTGAGATTTTGGATCAAATAACACAGGAATCACCTTTGTTATATACGGAGTATTTGATTGGCTAAGCGTTCATGCTAGTCAGTTCAAATTTTTTAACTAGCACACATCATTAGATGAACTTATGGTGTTAATTGTTGAATGAACTTATGGAGTATTCTATTTTACAAGTAGCAAAACATGTAAAGATTAGCTTAGTAGTTGACTAGTTTGTGATTTGCAGTTTAAGTTCTTGTGTGTGAAAGCCAGTTGGATGTCTTAAATCTAAATACGAAGTATTAATTTGTAAGCAATCATCAATTTGTACTTGATGATGCAGTACTTGTACTACTCATGCTTCTGAACTTGATAAACACAGAGCTTAGACTATTATACTTACAGTTCTGAAATGTAAATATCAAGTAAAATAATAAATATAGTTCACCAGTCCTTTTCTTTGATTTAACTGGCTTAAGTAGATATGTTAAGATCAGCTTTAGGTTGAAGTAAGTTATATAATTTACTAGCTCAAATTTATTTGTCTTTGGACCTCAAAGATAGTAGTGTTAGTCATTTTATACTGATTTTGAATTACTCTTTGTCATATTGCTTCAAAAGTCCAGTATTTTTAAGGACTGCATCCTGTGCATTACCCGTGTTTTGTAAAGTGTATACGATTAGCAACCAAATTCTTGTGCTGAACATTGTTGTTAAATTTACTCAAGTAGTATTGGCCCGAGGGCTGGGGTTATGATCCAAGCATCGCTTGAGAATTTTCAAGTAGTTGCAGGATTTCACTAAACTAAATTGATAATTTTAGTTATAAGAAAGAACATAGTAAGTCTGGTGATTAATTAGCATGCTGAAGATCTTCAGTTTGATTTTAAGACTCACCAAAAAGCTTTAATTAGTTGTAATTTGCTGTTGTTGCTGGGATAAGAGTATTTCTGAAGTTCTTACTGGATTTCAATTCTGCTTCTCATTTTGTCTTGAAACTATTGAGATTAAGTTGTTTGGCCCGAAAACTTTACCTTCCTAGATTATCAATTGTTATCTTGTACTTCTAGACTTCAGATCAGTATATAGCAGTAAAACACTTGCCTTTTAGATACCATCCGATTTATGTAAAACTCTAATTCCTGCATTATATTATAGATCTCATGACTGCAATATTTTGCTTAATTAACTTGTTCTGTGTGACAGCAAAAGGTATATGTGCGAGGAGGGAGCAACAAAAACGGACCAATTGAGCTGGAAGTTTACAATCAAGGCATGTTCAAGACTGAGCTATGCAACAAATGGCAAGAGACTAAGACCTGCCCTTATGGTGATCATTGCCAATTTGCTCATGGCATTGAGGAGCTTCGTCCTGTCATCCGTCACCCTCGCTACAAGACTGAGGTCTGTCGCATGGTCCTTGCTGGTGATCCCTGCCCTTATGGTCATCGCTGCCACTTCCGCCATGCCCTCACTGATGAGGAGAAGCTCATGCATTCACCCAGGCTTAACTAGCCAACTCTTTCCATGGTTGTCTAATTCCTCATTTGCTGGAATCTAGTTGAGGTATGATGACTTACAATATACCATAATGGGAGACTGAATGTTTATAGTTCCGTATGATAATACCTATGAGTGAAATATACTATATAGCATAAAATACATAAAAAGATATAAAAATTACATAATCAGGATTCAATTAGTAAGTATAGTGTCTGTAATTACCAAAAATTTAAGAAACAGGAAAGTAGATATCATTGTGGCTGAGAGAAGATGCTGATGGTTTGCTAGCTTTTTCTGATGCTGAAAGCGTCAGTCAAGACTCAAAGGAAAACTGAACTAGATTTTGTAATAAGTTCTATTAGTTCATGCTTCGTTCCACTAGCAACGTTTTGCCAGAGCTTGTTTGTAAATAAGTCATTGAGAATCTGAAACTGCAGAGGTTTTTGATTCATAGTATTGAATCTATTACTTTGTATATTGTGCATGGTTTAATTGCATAATATTCTAAGGATAATTGTATATAAGAGTACTTTTCAGTAGTGGTATCAAACAAGCCCTGTAACGGTTTGATTGCTTCCAAACATTCATCATTCATGTTTGAATTCTGAAGAGTCCTCACATTTTAAGTGGGGGGAAGAGGAGGGAAACGGGAGTAATCTAATGCCGTATAAGTAAGATTGTGTCATTATGTTGATGACTGATATGGTAACCTGAAAATTAGAATTCGGTCTGCTTAGTTCAAAAGTCACAGAAGCTAAACAATAATAGTTTGCCAGGATGACATTATAATGCCATTGTACCTCAGGATCAACCAAACAATTTCAAGACTAAGGAAGCTAAATATTCTAGCTACATATGAACAATGAACGCCACATTAATACACAGAGTGTCTGCTTCACCTTAGAGTCAGAGAATCAAGATAAAGGCCTGCTACTCAGAAAACTAGATTGCCATCCCCCAGTCAACTACTCGTAGCATTTTCTTTCATTCAATATTCCCGAAAGCATATCCACAACAATCAACAATAATGGCTGGTGAAGAAAAAGGACTTAGTTGTATTACAATACTTATATAGGTAAATCAGATCACATAGCAAAATCAAATACAATGCTGCACTTTTTTGATAACAAATATAGTATCGTGAATTACCCACAGAATAATATCGATATGAATTTATTATTTACAATCATACAAAAAGAGAGCTTTTTTTTTTTTTTTTTTTTTTTAAATATCTATAAGGACATGATTTGTGCTCAGCAACCTCAACTTTTAAATTATATATGTTGGACACTAATTCAATTGTACACTTTGACCAGAGTCCAATCATTGGAATAGGTTAAACATCTTAACTGAAGAAATCAGACAAATATACCTGATTCAACTGTGAATGCCAGTTGGGAAAATCCCAAACCAAGGCTATTTCCTGATAATTATCTCTTTGCTATAGCATCGTTCTTCAAAGTAAAATCCCAGAGTTCTCCGTATTTTTCATTAAAGTCCCAAATGTCCATAGTATTATAATCAGCGATCAACTTGTCACGAGCTCCTCTCTCCATGTTGTATATTTGGGGCTCAAAGTTGTGAGGTTTGTCTGGTTTATCCATCTCAATTATGCAAAATACGATTGTAAATAGACCTGCTCCGATGTACAGATACTCCCCCTACAAGTTGGACAAAACTTTAAGCTTAGTTTATCTATGAATATATCACTGTATGTGAGCTTTAATTGTAGGTAGTGAATTATCATTGCAGACAGTTTAGTACCGGAACATTGAAATACATCCCAGCAGCAACTGCTGGAAGGAACAGCCACGATATAAGACCTGCCAATCAAGATAAGTGTGAAGTTAACAGTTTATCATAAATCATATATAGAGAGTTGGATAATTAAAACAAACCTTGGAAACCAGTAGGTGGTTCCATGGAATTATATTCTTCAGCCACTGCTCCCCAAAATGTTCCTGAAATAGATCGCCAGGAAGTGCATTTATATGATCTTGTTAACTGGAATCAAAGTGGGTGTAAATATATGACACTTTGCTTAGGCAGCATGCAATTTATACATAAAACATGAAGTAAATTCATCCGTGAACTCTTGCAATTTGTACATATCCTCATGTTTTTAGGAAATGATGTCTAGTATTTCCTGTATAATTATCCCTGAAATTCTATTTCCAACTGCAACTTCCTGTATGAACTGATAACTCCATATTAGACAAACACTGATGCACATATCAATCCACATGTAACAACAAAATTTTGACATAACTGATACCTAAGCGCTATACAAGTATGTATTAGATAATTAGATGTGCTTTATAGAAAAACTGATATCTGTGATCTAAAGAATCTATACACTGCGACAAATATTTGCTTCGAAAAACAAGCAGTAAAGTCAACTTACAAGAGGAGATCAATCAACCAAGTGTTCCCTACCTTTCTCTGAAGTTTCAAAATATGTATGATGTCCATCATATTCTCCATATATAAAATCTTCCTACAGACAGCAGTAAAAACCAAATTCAACCAACATATTTTCTTACAGTAGTAAGAAACAAATCCAGTTAAAGACAATTTATACCTTCAACAAGTTAGTTTAAATAGGTTCCATAACTATCGTTAATACTATAATTGGGGCGGAGGATTGGAGCTACATTGATGTTAGTGAACCCACTTAGTCAAGAGTAAAAATGTAAAATCCCTTTTTCTCACTATACATTTATGTTATAATGCTTTGATAATCAAGTTTAGTGAACCCTCTAAATGACATCCCTACTTTTGCCACAATCACGGTATCTTAAACAAGATCATAGTACATACTACTCCACTGATTCGGATCATAATAAGAACTGCATTTGAGATTATAACAACTTTCTAGTCATGTAACATGCATATTGTATTCATATGCAGTAGTCACATTATATCATTTTCTCTGTTTTTCCTGATTTAATACTCAGTTTATCCCAAACACCTAATATCAAAGAATCACCACAATTTCACTATAGCACCCTTTCTTCTCTTCACCGCTTCTTTTAACTAGAGTTGTTCATGTATCGAACTGTATCTAGATCTGTTTTAGGAAACGCAACGACTGTTTTTCCAGACATACTCTATGTGGCTATTGATTTGGATATCAAAATACCCACATTTGTTCAATTAGTCCTTAACCTCTAATCAGTCAATCATCATACATCATACAATTTTAATGAAAATTAAAGAAGTAAGAGAGAAAGAGAGACAAACAGCATCAACTCCATTCGTAGCCCACCGGTCACCAGGATCTTCATTGAGGTCGGGTTCGATATCCGTTAAACCGGCTGCTCTCAACTTTGTAGACAACCTTGTTGTTGCTCTTGGATTATTGCTGCTAATCAAGACCTTATTATTACTATGATAAGGTGTTGGGGTTAAATTCATGCTGATTTTGGATGATGGATATCTGCAAATCACTGATGCAGCTGCAGTTGCAGGTAGCCAAGTAGAAGTACAAGTAGCTGCCATAGCTTTTGTCTTCAGATCAGTAACAATTGTTAAGAGTGGTGGAGGGTGTATATTTAATTTAACAATTTTAACAGATTGTACTCATATTGCCTATGGTGTTGCCACGTCAGCTTGTTCTATATCCAATCAATTCTATATCCTAAATGTTGGGGTATTATAAATTTTAATGTAATGGGTTATTGAACACATAAAAGAGAAATATACTTTACATTGTATGTAGAGTTGGGCATGGAGCGGGCTGACATAAGGGCCGACCAAGCATGAGATGCAAATGGCCTAATCCAGTGGAATCCCATTACAAGCACGACATGCAAATGATGGCCACTGGTCCACTGCACGCATGGGCATCATGTTCAAATTTTGGCACAAGTTCAAATTTTGGCACAAGCAAACCTATTAGGAGGGGCTACTAAACAGCATGACCCGATATGACACGACATATCGGTGAAAAGATACATTCGTTTAATACATAATTTTATTGAGACACACGACGTACTAGCTCGAAACGTTGGTTTACACGACCCGACTAATGCCTAGCTCTAGTTACATAAGAAATTAGTTAGAATAAATAAAATTATGGAAATTTTGTTAATAACTAACGTCTTTGTTGTTAATTATGAAAATAACTAACCTCGAAAAAAATTTATAAAACTACCAACTTTCCTTCAAAAGTTTTGGTAACACTACCTTACATAAATTTTTGTCCAAAAATTTGACAGTGCACGTTATAGGGCATCACATATTTGACATCCTGAAAAAAATGTCAGATGAATTCCCTTTATACCCTCATTTAATGTCATCACCCACCTCTATCCTTTTCTCTCTCCTCCCTCATTTCATCGTACCATGCAACCTTAATCACCATTTTAGCGCAAGAAAGCTACTTATAAAAATTGAAATGAAAACCCGAAAATCTTCTACAAAACTGAAATTGAAGAAATTTTAGGGTTCTTGTTGGAATCATTTCAATGAATAGATTATTAATTTTCAATTGTTATAATTTATAATTATTGATAATTAAAGATATTACTCCCTTCGTATTTTATTACTTACTCCACTTTTCTTTTGCACCCGTATTTTATTAGAACTCCATTTCCTTTTTGGAAAACCCTTCATAATATTTTACTAATTTCTTCTCTCCTAGTGGACCCCATAATACCATACTTTGATATTTCCAAATTCTCCCTCCTCCCAACTATCATAGTTTATTCTTCCACCAACCCCACTTCCTTCATACTCCATTTGTTCCCTTTTATTTTTTACGTTCTGAATCATGCGTGGTTATTAAGAAATTATCCCAAATCGAGGTATATTGATATAAATTCAATCATTGAAGGTACCATTTTAGTTTTTGAAAAAAAAAATGTTGTACATGTTAGGTAAAGAAAGTAGGAAGAAAGTAGAAGAGAGAAGAGAGAGAAATTAATAATGAGTATTGAAAACCCATTAAAATATTATAAATGGTACAATTTACATGAAAAGTGGAGAGCAATTGAGTATTTAAATTGCAAAGAAAGGGTAATTTCGTCCAAAATTAATGACTTAAAAAGGAAATATTCTAAATGTAAAAAATAAAAAGGAACAAATGGAAACATAAAAAACAAAAGGGAACGGAGGGTTTACGAAGTATTTTATTACTTTCTACTATTTCTCCTAAAACTTCGCGCATGGAAAAATGACACAAGTAATAAAATACGAAGGGAGTATTGATCAAATTTTTGCATCGACATATATGTCAAGGAGAAATGGAACAAGTAATAACATATGGATAGAGTACTAATGAGATTTAAAAGTTCTTATAGGGTCAAAACTTAAAAGCCCACACTTGAGGCATTTAAAAAAGAATCGGGAAGATTAAAATAGGAAGAAGGCACATTTGATATTAAGTTTTGGGGGATAATACTCAAGATTTGGGATGAAATTTCGTCTACATCATTGTCCTTGTTACTCTTTGTTGCCCTTATTATTTTGATGAACAAACTGACAAATTTGACTAATGAATGTTTTAAGTCTTTGGTAAATTGAAGGTTCACGCAACAAAAATCGTTCCGGAGTAGGAGCACTAAATCAGGAATGCGGAGTAGCATTCACACAAGTACAACGTGCAAACCCAGATTCTAGAATATTTAAAGTATTTAAAATATAAGTTGGCTTTTGGAACTCAGTGAGATACGTTATTATAAAGGTTAAAATAAAACGTTCAATTGGAATAAATAATGTTTTAATAAGGTTGTTTAATAAAAAAAATAGGATATTTTACATTATTGTTTTATAAATAAATTAATCAAATTAATTTATATATTAAATTATCTTTTTAAACAAAAAATATCTTTTTCTTAAACTAACCGTTATTTTTATCAAATATATCACAAACTTCATTCAGTTTTATCATGGCTAAAATATAGGATTATTGTTTAGGTAGTTGTGGATTGGTGAGCAAGCTTAGGAAGCTTCCCACGTTCACCACTTGTCATGATACTCCACAACATGTTAACATGTGTTAGTAGGAGTGATGACATGTGTACGTGCATATGATGGAAAGCTAATGATTAAGCTGCCACTCTATAAATACATGCAATTGATCTCAGCAAGAAATACACCTTGAACATTATTATTCCATTGAGCAAATTATCTAATAGCGTGAGAGAGTTCCTAAAATACTTCTTATATTCTCTTGTACGTTAGGTCTTGTATTACTTACTGTAATTGGGACTTTGGGGTATTTGTGAGAGTTGTAATTTGTGAGGTAAAGAAAGTTTCGGTGTTGAAATTTTTGAGAGAGTTGGGAACAAGTTCCGTTCTTGTGGAACATAGTCCGGGTTGATTATTCACATTGTAAAAGAGTTTGATTTACTTAGTGGAAATTTCAAAAAACTCATATCATTTCTCTTTATTGTTTTACATTATCTTAATTCCGCAAAAAAGTTTACTACTTCACCCACACTACAATTCACCCCCCCTCTTGTAGTAGCTATCTAGGATTTCATTTGGTATCAGAGCGGAAACTCAGAAATATCAGGCAACCCTGTTAAGCAAGTTCCTGGGAGGAAGGCACACAAAGAGGAAAGAGAATTTGGAAGTACATCAATTCAAAGGCCTCCATATTTTAATGGTAAGTAATACTCTTATTGGAAGGACAAGATGGAGATCTTCGCGCAGTCACAGAACTACTTGGTATGGAGAGTTATTCAATTAGGAGATACGAAGTTACTAAGACAAATGCCAACAATGAGGTAATCCCTAAACCTGTAGATGAATATGAAAGATCAGATTTCGAAAAACTTAATTTAAATGCTACAACCAAAAAGTATCTAATATGGGGACTTGGTCCTGATGAACATACACGTGTTAAAGGGTGCAAGACCGCCAAGGAAATCTGGGATTTACTGGAAGTAACACATGAAGGAACCTCTGATGTTAAACGTTCTAAAATTAATATTCTGTTATCACAATATGAACGTTTTGAAATGGGTAATAAAGAATCAATTAAAGATATGTTTACAAGATTCAAAAATATTACAAACGAGCTAACTACTCTTGGTAAGATCATTCCCATAGATGAACAGGTTCGTAAAGTCTTAAGGAGTCTTCCAGAAAATGAAAGATGGAGAGCAAGGTGGCAGCGGTTCAGGAATCCAAGGATTTCACTAAATTCAACCTTGAACAACTTGTTGGTTCACTGATAACCCATGAGATTCAAATGAACAATAGAACCCAAGAAACTGTCAAGAGTTAAGGACTAGCTTTAAGGGTTGATGAAGAATCCGAGGAGATCTCTGATATCGATGAAGAGGAAGCTGCTATGTTGGTGAGAAGGCTGAAGAAATTCTACCATAATAGTAAATTTGTAGATAAGAAGAAATTGAATATCAAGAAAAATCAAGATTGAAGAGACAAACCTTCTTGTCACAAGTGTGGTAGCACAAATCACTTCATCAAGGAGTGTCCCTTATGGGAATCTAAGAAAAGCAAAGGCAAGGAAATTGACCAAAGTAAAAACTTTAAGCCTAACTTTTCTAAAACCAATTTCAGGAAAGCTATGATTTCCACTTGGGATGACTCGTGTTCCGAAGGAGAGGAAGAGGAACAAATTAATGAAGAAACTGCCAATCTCTGTCTAATGGCAAAGCATGATGAAGAGGTAAGAATTCAACCTAGTAATTTGAAATCACTTTCAAAGGAAAAAGTAATCTCCCTACTATTAGAAACTTTAGATGACTATAAAGATATATGCCAAAAGCTAAGACAAGCCGAAAAGGCCACTGGAATATGTAGAGACCATGTCAAATATTTAAATAACTCAATAAATGATTTACAAGGTTGATTCTTTGATTTATTGGATAAAAACATTATGTTAAAAGAGTCTCTTGAAAGAGTCAAAAGTGAGAACATAATGCTAAATGTTGAATTGACTCAATCAATGTTGTTAAAATCGCGATCCGGATCGTAGGATCGTACGATCCTTATATCATCCAACGACTTGGTGAAAATTACCTATGAATTCTCTCAATCAAACCATAGAAAAGAAATCGTGAAGGAAGGGCTTATGGCTCAGGATTGGCTTAGGGTGGGTTATAATATTCAAGCAGGTTACATCTGGCTCATAGGTCCCTTACCCAACACATAGTGGATTGCTGTAATATGGAACATACTCACTATCCCCAAGCATAGGTTTGTTTTGTGGATTGTTATGCAGAACATACTCCAGACTAGAGGCAGATTGAAAAAACTTGATATTACAGCTAAAGACAGGTGCTTCTTGTGTGGAGATAAGGAGGAAAACCTTGATCATCTCTTATAAAATCAAAACAGTTTTGTAAAAATCTGATTGTGGAAAAACGTGGATTTTAAGTAAAAGTTGTTGAGAGATTTTAGGAACAAAAAAATCTACTTTTACTGGCTTGTTAAAAAGAGAATGTGGGATAATTGGAAGCATAACTCGTGCTACAAGCTTGCACTCTAAGTACCACTTATACATTATCTCCTATATTTGGGGAAATCATGTTAAGTGGGTGCTCTAATTTTATCTCACGCATAACTTAATCAATAAATACAAGTCTCAAGCATCATTACAAAATACACTTGAGCATCTTAACATTAAGCATCCACTGAGTCTTTACCTTACGCTCGAGTGCCAAATCTTAGAGTTGATCCAATTGAGTTGTAACTTCTTCTTTGAGTTAGAGTGTCAAGGGAGGTTTTGGGTTAGAGTCCCAAAATGGGCTTGTGAGTCTAAGAGAATTCATAAGTAAGGAATTTTAAGTGAAAGCTGTAAAGGAGAAAGTGAGTGCAATCGATAGTGGGATTGATTGCGGGGTTCTTAAGTTCGTGGAGGAACTTGAGAGCAGTCTTAGATTGTATTAGGTTCGAGTCCTTTTATAATATAAGATGAAATCATGTTCAAGTCAGGTCAGTTTTATCCCTTGACTGGGTCAAGGAGAGTTTCTGTGTTTTGGAAATCATTCATTCTTAGCTTTTCATTTGATTGGGTTTCGTTTCCGCTAAAAATGGGTCAAGTTCCCTCAATACAATTCACCCCTCTTGTATTGTCTAGTCAATCCAACACTAACAATTCTATTCAGCTTCTTATCAAGAGAATAAAATAATCCAATAGAACCAACAAATAAATTTTTTTCCTTAACGTGAAACATACAAATCCTTCCTTTACATCAACTTTTAGACATTGTGAAAAATTCAGATTCATACCAAATGATTTTAAGACCTGCAGCAGAAGAGATGGTTTTATCACTTCTATAATGCGCTTCTTAGAATCCTGAAAGTCGTTCCGGGCATTGCACACTGTACTAGAAATCCTCATTGGCTAACCTTGGATTTATTATCCTACAACCTGATTGTAATCTAAGCAAAAGATTCAAGTCAGCAACCATTATTCAGAAAGCCTTTTAGATAGAAACATCAAATTTTAGTTTTGACTTTATCAGCTGGAAACATCAAAGGCGAAAAAAAAGGGAATTAAGCACCATCAAAACCTTTTGCAGTTAAGCTAAAGTAAAATGTAGATTTCATTTTTCCAAGTCATTATGCAAGTTACATTAGTTGGGTCATAGCATTAAGAAAAAGATCTTAACAATTGCCTCATGATCATCAATAACAAATTGCTTTGGCATATATCAAGTTTTATTATTTGGTTCATGCTCATGGGATGTTACAAAGTTTTACAACCATCTTTTTATCCAAGTTTGGTATTCTAAGATAACTAAGTGATTGGATTTATATACAAGTTTTATTATTTTAAGCTTTAGAGAGATCAAGCCAAAAAAGATGCTAAGATGTCTCTCTCACACGCACACGCGCGGGCACACACACAAACAACCTGTTGAGGGTAGAAAGAAGCTTCAATTCGGAGCATCAAATAGCATCACACGAGAACTTCAAAAATTAATGTCCTTCTACTTAATAGGGTAAAAAAAAGAAGCATTTACTAGAAGCACACTAAGAAACAAAAAAAGTTAATAAAAAACTGACACAATTGGTAAGAATTATTTGGTTTCTCTCAGACTTTTCAGGAAACAATGACAGCAGGCAGATAGGAAGCACCAAAACACAATGAAAGTGCAAGAGTTTATATAAATAAAAAAAATGGAGAATATATCATCCCTATATTTAGGGGAAAAACGATTTGTAATGAACAATCTAAAAGAAAATTTTTGATTCAAAAGAAAAAAACGCTTGAAAAAAAATTAAACCGACTAACTGACTTGTTACCGAAGCAAGCGGGTTTTGAACAAGAAAATTCGACCCTTGACCAAAAAATTATTGACATGAAAAAGAATGAAACTCGTCTCAGACCGGTCGCAACTGACCCGACCGACCGATTTGCCAAGCCTACTTCTAATATAGTGAAATGGTGAGGAATTTGTTGTATTAGAGTATGTAAACAATTTAGTCAACGTTAACAAATTCACATTTACTGCATAATTTTTTCGGATTTTTCACCAAATACCACTGAGTTATTTCGTAATTCATCATATACCCCACAAAATTTTCTAATACACCAAATACCACTGAGTTTTTGGTAGATGTCACAACATACCATTAATGGCTAACGGACGTTAACACCGTTAGTCATTAAGGTTAATAATGCCACGTGGCAGCTTGTGATTGGTTCCCTTCTAAATTATTTAATTTTAGAATAATTATTTAATTAATTATCAGATAAAAAAAATAAAAACCAAAAAATAACAAAAAATAATAAAAAGTAACAAAAATTAATTAAAAAAAACAAAACCTGCTGCCACCAGCCTATTCCGGCCACCTTACCGCCAAACCCTTGCCGCCGAGGACAAAACCGACAGGCGCGCCGGTGGCCTCCCACCCCTTCCCTCCCCTTTTCGATTCTAGCCACCCCACCCAAAACCCCCTTCCCCATCCCTTTTCGATTTCCGGCCACCCCACCCAAAACCCTCTTCCCCTTCCCTTTCCGATTTTGGGGGCCACCCTACCCAAAACCCCCTTCCCCATCCCTTTTCGACTATTTCCGGCCAACCCACCATCCCAGGAAACCCTTCCCCTTCCTATTTCTGGCTGCCGAAACCCCCAAAATCCTCTCTAAAGCCTCTATCTTCTTTCTTGCGAAACAGAGCAGTTATCCACTCCTCCATTTCCAAAGATTCAATGAATTCTTCCGCCATGGATTTAGACGATGAACTTGAAGATCATCACCAGCAGCAACAAGACGACATCGATCCATTTATCAAATTCATCAATTAGGTAAACTCTATGGGTGGGGTTTCGAGGTGGTGGAGGAAGGGGGGAGGGGTTTCGGCCGGATTTTGGGTTTAAATGGGTGAGTGGGTCGCGACGGGAAATAGGAGGGGAAGGGGATGGTCGCCGGCCGGCCGGGAAGTGGACCAGGCGGCAAGCCGGGGGTTGAGGTTAGGGCTGGGCTGGTGGCAAAAGTGGCTGAGTTGGCAGTGTTTTATTTTTTTTATTTTTTATTTTTTTTGACGTTAGTTAATTAAATAAATAACAGTAATAATCACCAATTACAAGCCGTCATGTGGCATAATTAACGTTAATGACTAACACCGTTAACGAAAATGGTATGTTGTGACATTTACTAAAAACTCAGTGGTATTTGGTGTATTAGAAAATTTTGTGTGGTATATGATGAATTACGAAATAACTTAGTGATATTTGGTGAAAAATTCGTAATTTTTTTTATTTTTACAATTATTGTTCACTCTTTTAACCAAATTACCACTATCTATCCCTAATTTCCCAACTAAATGCAAGTATTCAGTCATTCTTGTACTCGTATTTCTATTAGGGAATTGTGCCTTCTCAATATTCTACACTTGTAATAAGAGGAAAAAAAAAAGTAAACAACCCTTTCAAAATACCCTTTCCATATTTGAAACTTCAGACCTCTTCTTCTTCCCGCCAATTTCCTCTAAGATTTGAAAATGGCAGATCCAAAATCCAATGATGGTGGAGAATCTTGTTTGATCGAATTACTTAGGAAGAAGATGACAAGCAGGGATCTCAGTCATAGTCGTTTCTAATATTTTCGTGGCCTAGGGAAAAATGATAATACTTTTGTTGAATAAATTATTTGTTTTTATAATTATAAATATTTATATAATTTGTTAATTCATAAATAATTTTATGTAATTTGTTAATTCATAAATAGTTTTATGTAATTTGTTAATTATTTCACCCATTATTTTAATTGCATTATTTACACTTTTCCACTATTCACTCACCTCTTTTGAATTTCTTTTGTGATTTATCCATTAAAATATTATATTTTTAAATTTCATATTTTTAAATATTTATATGTAATAATTTATTGCATTTTCCCATTAATTTCATGATTAATCAATTTATTATATGGTTATGACCAATGTTGTTAAAACGCGATCCAGATCGTAGGATCATACGATCCTACGATCCTTATATCATCCAACGACTTGGATCGTGCTTAAGATCGGATTTGCAAAGAATCGGCTATAGGATCGTTAGAATTGTATAGGATCAGTGGGATCGCGATTCTATGTCGATTCCAACGATCCTACCCAAAAGTCTAACAATGTGTGTTTGGTCAGCCAAACAAACTATGGGCTGGCCCCATTAATGTTAAAAACTAAAAACCCTTTTCCTACCCACCTTTTCCCATCCACTTTCAACCTCACTTTCACGACGTTCAACATTATTCAACCCCATTTTCACCATTTTTGCTATTTTCACTTTGCACGACATTCATCTCCTACTCCAAATCCCCTTTTTCACCATTATCATATTTAAGCACAAGCATAAACTTATCTTTTTGCTACAAGCTTGCAAATAACTATCTGCAAATCGGTATGTCGTATGTTTCTAAAGTATATCCTAAATTATGAATTTTTCAATTTTTCTTTTTTTTTGCTTGGTAATTTAGGGATTGTTTTTGGTAAATTTGCATGTTGTTTGTTCGATTTTCTATTGCTATTCTATGTCAATATTTTGTTTAGACTTTAGATTTTGTATCGAATTCTTTTTTGTACTGCTATTCAATTTAGGGATTTTCTAGTTTCTACTGCTATTCAATTTAGCCAATTTTGGGGTTTTCTAATTTCTACTGCATACTGCTACTCAATTCTTTTTTGTATCGAATTTTCCCTTTATATTTGTAGGTTGGTATTATTTATGCGCCTCTGTTAAATTGATCCTTCGAATTATGTCAACCACTGCAAGCTCTGTTAAAAAGAAAAGAAAAAATTCTCCTGGTAATAGAACTGACCCAGGCTGGGAACATGGTACTGAGATAGATAGTGAAAGTAAGAAAGTAAGATGCAAATATTGTGGTGTTGTGCGTGCTGGTGGTGTTTATAGGCTTAAACATCACCTTGCTGGGACTGGTTGTAATGTTGAGAGATGTTTGCAAGTTCCGGATGATGTGAAACATAAATTTAGAGACCTATTACAAGCTAATGCAGAACAATCTAGTAGAAAAAAAGAAAAAATTTAATGATATAGGTGAGGATGATGATACTTATGAATATCAACAAAGTATTAATTTGAACAGGAGGGGGGAATGGATGCTTTTGTGAGTAGAAACAAACCTGGAGTTCAAACAACACTTAATCAGAAATATAAAAAGGAAGAAAGAGAAGAAGTTTGTCAACAAATAGCTCATTTTTTTTACACTAGTGCAATTCCATTCAATGTCGTTAACAATCCCGAATTTCCTATCATGGTTGAAAAAATTGCAAAGTATGGGATTGGACTTAAACCACCAAGCTATCATGAAATAAGGGTGAGATTTTTGAGTAAAGAAGTGAAAAATGTAGTGACCATGCTTGAGGAGTTCAAAGAAGAATGGAAAAAAACAGGTTGCACCATTATGTCAGATGGATGGAGTGATAGAAAAAGACGCTCCATTTGTAATTTCTTAGTGAATAGCCCTAAGGGGTCTGTGTTCTTATCTTCAATTGATACATCTGAGATCTCTAAAACAGCTGACAAAGTTCTTGAAATGTTAGATGCGGTTGTAGAAAAGGTTGGTGAAGAGAATGTTGTGGAAGTTGTCATAGATAATGCTGCAAACTACAAAGCTGCTGGAGAAAAATTGATGGAGAAAAGGACTAAATTATTTTGGACGCCATGTGCTGCTCACTATATTGATCTAATGCTTGAGGATTTTGATAAGAAGATTAAGGTCCATAGTGTTACCATCGGTAAGGCTAGGAAGATAACAACTTACATATACTCTAGAATCATACTCCTCACTTGGATGAAAGAGTTTACCAAAGATAGAGAGCTTATTAGACCTGGTGTCACACGATTTGCTACATCTTACCTGACATTGAGGTGCTTAAATGAGCATAAAGGATCATTACTTGCTTGTTTTCATCTAATAAATGGATATCAAGTAAGTTTTCTAAATCTGTTGAAGGGAAAAAAGTTTAGAGAATTGTCTTGGATACCAGGGGATTTTGGCAGAGTGTTATAATGTGTTTGAAAGCTGCATTGCCACTTGTAAAAGTTCTACAAATGGTGGTTTCTGATGAGAACCCGACTATGGGATTTATCTATGAATTGATGGCCCAAGATAAAAACCAAATCAAGGAAAATTTTAACAATGTTGAAAGAAAGTAAGTAAGCTGTTAAGTTTCTTATAATTCATTTTGTTTTATGTTGTTACATGTTACTTGTTACTTTGTTAGTGACTAATTTTAAATATATACAAACCAATCTTAGATATTGTTGATGAGCGTTGGGAGAATCAACTTCATAAGCCTCTCCATGCAGCAGCTTATTTTTTATATCCACAATTTCAATATAAGCCTGTTTTCAAGCCAATGCTGACATTAAAATAGGCTTATATAATTGTCTGCAAAGAATGGTTTCTGATCCGGACGAAAGAATGATGATTGATTTACAAATGGATGCCTTTAAAAATGCCAGAGGGCTTTTTGGGTTGCCTACTGCTGTTATGACAAGAACAAAAAAAACTCCAGGTTTGTATTTTTGGGTATAAAATTACATATTATTTTTATTACATTCCTAACATACTATTCTGATTTCTAAATGTGCCTTAATTCATGAAGCTGACTGGTGGGATTCATATGGGGATGAATGTCCAGAGCTTAAAAACTTTGCCATAAGAATTTTAAGCCTCACTTGTAGTTCCTCGGGCTGTGAACGAAATTGGAGTGCCTTTGAAACGGTAAAATACTATTGAATTTTTTGGTACTTTATATTATACAATTTTGGGTAATTTGACGTCTTCTAAATTTTTTATTTATATGTAATTTAAACAGGTTCATACAAAGAAAAGAAATCGATTGCATCAACAAAAAATGAACGATTTGGTTTTTGTGATGTATAATTTGAAATTAAAGCGAAGGCATGAGAAACGAGCAAGCAAGCCAATCAAACAACCAATATTTTTGGAAGAGTTGCCGTCTGATGATGAGTCGATAGCAGAGGTAGAAGAACTTGTTCTTCCAACAAATGATGCATGGTTCACTAATCTTGATAGAGCAGCTAGGAGATTTGCTAGAGAAGCTACAAGAAAGGGAGATGAAATTCATGAAGACCATGATGGTGAGCAACTGAGCACAATCTTTTTAGTTTCCTTTTCATTCAATTTTCAGTACTTATAAAATCTTATCTTCTCCTCTTTCACCTTTTTAATTATTTTTGCCACATATTGTGTAGATGAAATCGATGAAGTAACAAATTTGAGCGACAATGATGATGAGAATCATGAGATTGCAGCAACTTATATAGGCTCAAATGATTTTAATGATGATGATGATTTTGGTGATGTCAACAACTTTGAAAATGAGCCAGCTAGTACAGGAGGAACTGATGTTAGAAGTGATGATGTTGATTATGGTAATTTGAGTTTTGGATATGATGATTGATGAATATATTTTAATTAAAACTAAGATCTAAGTGTTTTGTAATCAAAACTATTTTATGTCATTATGTGTATTATTTTGTCATTGAACTCATAAGTATAAATTTATTGAGAAAAATGTCGATATATTAGCTATAATTAGCTTTTTAATGAAGTATCGCCTTTTTAATGAGTAAATCACCAAATATTTGCATTATTAGTCTTTTTTTAACAAAAAATATGATCCCACAACAATTTTATACATGTACTATGTCTTAAAATTGAAAATTGGTAGGATCGTACGATCCCACGATTCGATCCTGATAGGCCTTTTTGATCCAAAGTAGAATCCCGATCCTGATAACGTTGGACTCAATACAAAATGTTGTGCACCAATATCGATTCTTGTCACCAACACCCACTATCAACCCCACTTTTATTTCACCTTTTAATTCTCCTCTTCAACACTCCACCATAAATCCACTACTTCAAAACCGTCATCTCTCCTCCATAAACCATCACTTCCTAAAACCGTGTTCCCTCTCTAAAATCACCCATCTCCCTCCTTCACCCCAACAACCATGAAAAGGAATTTAAACACACAACCCAAACCCAAAACTTCATCCACTCATAAAAAACACATTGGCACCAATGGAGAAGGATCCCTCACCGGAACCAGTTCTTGTTTTTATCCTTTCCCTTGTTTTTTTTCATCGATATCCCTTTTTTCCTCTTTTCTTTTTCTTTTTGACGATCTAATAATGTCTAGGAGACTCGAGATACAGAATAAGGAGACATGGAATTTTAGAGGCTAACAGGTCATCAACCAGGTTATGGTTTTTTGGTTGTTACATTCTTTACACGTGATGCTCAAGTCATGCTCCAATTTTTTATTTGCTGTGGATTATAGCCATATTAATTTATTATTATATAAACTAGGGAGTATACATAAATTTTATGTATTTATTGATAGTGATATGAGAAAAAGAATGTTGCAAAGCTTAATCATGCATTTAGAATACACAGTTAATTCATATTTCGTACATATGGTTGTTCTCTAATTAATTGAACAGTTTCACATCACATTATTATTTTACGGTTATTCATCCTACTTCAACACCGAAAAAGAAGGCAACCACCACAAGAGACGGAGAACAGAAACGACGAAAGGCATCCTCTGCTCAGCAATGGAATTACTCTCTGGGCTACCATATAAATTATGAATGGTGCAGTGAAAGTAAGTTCTCTGAATTCCTCAATTTGGTTAAATGTCAAAATTGGGTATATTTGCTCCACAAATGTTCAAAATCTCCTGTTTATCCCAAATTGTTGTTTGATTTCAAGAAAACCTTTAAGTATAATGATGGTGTGTGTTCTGCTACGAAGAAGGGAAAGAGAATTCAATTTGATGCCCAGTATTTAGGAAATCTGTTTCAAGTTCCTAACCATGGCCATTGTTCTTATATTAAGCATAAACAATCAATTAATTAAAGTAGGTAAGTACAATGAGTCACATTTCCTACAATTCATTGGGGGAAATCCAAGAGTTGTTACTTCACACCACAAAATTCTATCTCCACTTCATAAATTACTTTTCACTTTTACTTGGAAAGTTATTATTCCTAGGTTGCAAAAGCGTAGCACGGCTTCACTTCTTGATGCAACAATTATCTTTTGCCTTGCTAAGAAAATTCAAATTAATTTTCCACAGTTAATGATAGAACATCTTATCTTTTATGACGAAAAGGCCACAATTCCCTATGGTTCTCTCCTTACTGTTATTTTTCAATCTTTTGGCATGAATGTTGAATCCGAAGCTTCCTTACTTAGACTAAGTTTGGAAATTGTTAATGGGAAAATTCAATTTATACCCCGTTCAAATACACATAATTAAGAAAGATGGAAAGGGGAAAATGAAAAATAAGGGGAAAGCAAAAGTTGATGAGAGTGAAGAGGCTACTTTTAAAACAATTAAGTTTGACACAACTGAGGGAGATGAGGGGGAAGAAAGCAGTGAGGACTCTATGAATGAAAAAGAAAAAACCCCTTCTCCTGTTGCTAGGAGAGGTATAAGAAAGAGTGCCACATTAGTCTCCCAAGAAAAATCAACTACCCCTTCCTTTCCTTCTAAGCCTATACATGTTGAGGATACAAGCTCCTCTAAAGACACTGCCTCAAATATTCCCACTGAGTAGGTTCCCTTTGTAACATCCTAGAAATTCCTTTCCTTTAAAATACCAAATTTGCCCTTTTAAAATACGAAATAGGAAAATCTAAGACATTACCGCCACCGTGAAAACGGTTAAGGCAAATATCGAAGACTCACTCACAGAAGATCATCTTAAAAACCATTTAAAAACAAGTCATCTTAAAAAGTCAAACCAAATGAAAGTAAAGTCAAACTAAGTCAAAAAAAGTCAACCTACAACTCGAAACCACTGTAGGCCCTTAAAACCAAACGATATTAAAACCCTTTGCGTAAGTCTCATGAGCAGAATAAAATATATAATATACAAAGCAAATAAAACACATCATATTCCTATGAGAACTAAGCATGATTCGCTCTTCACTCATGCCCTTCATGAAAATGCTTCATCACCTGAAAAACTTCTCTCTACTTGTCCCAACTACTCGTCATTAGAAATGGGTCGTCGTAGGGCCAAGGTAAAGACAAGGTCAAATAAACATACAAACACACAATCAGCAACCCTGAGTACATAAGCGTAATAAAACACACTAACATGCTTTCATCCTACAATCACACAACTTACCGTGCTGCACCTGTTTACAAGAATACAATACATTCAACACCTAACTAGACCAATACCAATATTCATTTAATTTTGATTACACATCGAACGGGTTTCCAACCAAATCTCTACCTCAAATAAATTGAGGTAAACTACACCGGGAGCTAACCGGGTAGGCAAATGTCACATGAAGTGACTGGACGTCCTGCGCATGAGATAAATATAAAGAAAAATATTGCGTCCTGTACTCCCAGTAGAAGTCATGGTTAAATAAAAAACCCCATAACTCCCATCATATATTCATACTCAAGGTATATACGTTCCAAGAGTTTTGGTGTGTATTCTCTTTTACTTTACGTTGTTTACATATTATTATACTTGGTGATGACTCTCAATCATAATACAATCAAACATTATAATTCATTCGAGCAATCAAACACACCAATTTAATTCTTGAACAATTAGTGACCACATAAATTTAATAGTTGAACCCTTTTTAATCTACCTCAGTGTCAAAGACACCTTAAACGCATAATGCGTCGCAATCCTATCCCTCGGTGTTAGAAACACCTTAAGTGCACATAAGCACCGCAATATTGTGTACTAAGACACTTAAATAGCTCAAATCCCATGCTTAAAGCATTAATAAAAATTATATGAACCATAAAAAAATTCTCTTTTCATATTCCAAACCAAATTAGACATTTAGTTTAATTAAACATGCTCTCTAACATGCCAGTAATAAAAGTGTGGTTCATAACCAACATGCCAACATAATTAATTCCAATCACCAAATAATCATAAATAATTCACACATCACAAATTATTTACCAACATCAATCCAATCAACAAATT